AGAAGAGAGAGACTGCAAACAGCCCTGCTATGGAGCCGGAGGGGCTCAAACGAGCCCTCAACAAAGTTGAGGAGGCAGGCATCACAGTGGAGGAACTTGTAACAGATGCCCACTCATCCATCACTCGCTATATGTGTAAGTACTTCTACATTTAATCATGAAAATTAGAGATTTGTGTCAAGTTGATCTAAAACAGTAGCGAACAGGCCACTGAAGTTCTGGACCAAACACGTAGTGAACCGTTTTTGGTTCTGTGCAGAATCGTGTGGTGGTGATGTTAATCTATTCTTGGTAAGTTGATTGATTATAGCTGTGTGATGTTCTCAATGTAAAGCGTAAACAGGTAAATGCTGAGTTAATATACATTTATGCTCATATCAGTAGACTATATCACTCAATGTAGTGAAACCATATTCAGCTGATGAGAAATAATGCGAATACCATGTACTAGTCATAATATCCGCTTGTACTACCAATACATTCTATTATATTGCAGACTTTTCCGTTTTTGTTTTTGATAGGATATAGTTTAACGTACTATGTTGTGTACTTGTATTTTATGTAATAGGCAGAATTCTACAACTTGTGATAATTGCTCTCTTTGCAATCGAAGCTCAAGAGAGTATAAATCTTTAGCTACTACATTTAATGAAGAACTTCTTCCGGATAACAAAGTTTATACTCCTGATGAATTTTATGAATCTACTAAAAATTTCGATACTTGTTCTACAGTGACTTTATTTCATTTTAACTGCCGTAGTTTAAAGCGCAATTTTGATAATTTCTTACAATGTGTCCAAACATTTTCCAGACCTATGTCAATAATTGGGGTCACTGAAACATGGCTTAAGAGTGATGATGATGATAGCTATTTTTCTCTTCCCCAATATTCCTTCCTAAGTAATCCTCGACAAGGAAAAAGAGGGGGAGGCGTAGGAGTATTTATTCATGACAAAATAAGATTTAAAAGAAGACCAGATTTAGATGTGTTTACTAATGCTGTTGAGAGTATTTCCATTGAGGTATATAATAAAGTACAGAATTATATAGTTCTTGTTATGTATAGACCACCACACCAAGGAGTACAATCTTTTATAAATGATACACAAGCACCGCTGAATGTTATTATGAATGAGAAAAAGGAGAGCATCATTATGGGTGATTTTAATGTTGATCTATTGAAACTTGATGTTATTTCACATGTTAATGAATTCATTGATAACTTTATTTCACTTTCTTACTTACCACAAATAATCAAGCCAACCCGAATAACCTCACATTCTGCGACTACTTTGGATAATTTCTTCTGTAATAATCCAGAAAAGGTTAAGCTGAGTGGAATAATTTTAACAGATGTCAGTGATCATCTTACTCCTTTTATCATGATTTCATCTCAACCTGATACAGATGATCCTCAAATAGTTTACTCAAAACGTGACTTCAGTGATGTTCACATCAATACATTTTGTTCAAAATTACAGTCTGTGAAGTGGGAATTTTTAGATCGTCTTGATGATGTTAATCAGAAGTATGAAAGTTTTCTTGAAATATATGTGAAATTGTATAACGAATGTTTCCAAAAGGTAGAGATGAAAAGAAAGAAACATGCAAATGTTAAACCTTGGATTACAATAGAAATTAAGAAAATGAGTAAACATAAATATATTTTATACAAAAAATATCTTAAAAATCCTACGACATATCGCAGAGCGACTTATGTCAATTTTAGAAATAGATTTAATAACTTGATACGTGATACAAAACGTAAATATTATGATAATAAGTTTAAGGATGTAATGAACAATGCAAAGAAAACATGGAATGTTATAAATGAAGTTTTGAACAAAAGAAAAAGTAAGCATGATGTTAATGAAATTGAATTTGAAGGTAGATCTATAAAGGATAAATCTCATATTGTAAATTTATTCAATGATTACTTTAGTACAGTTGGACAGAAAATTCATGATAAGTTGGATAGTGCAGTAACTACATCATTTAATAGCTTTTTACAGGGATCTGTTTGTGAGTCTTTATTTTTTAGTCCAATCACAAAATCTACTATAATTAATATTATATCGAGTTTTGATGTAAGTAAATGTCCTGGTTACGATGAAATTAGTGCTAAAATTGTTAAATGTTCTATTAATGCAATTGTGTCTCCTTTGTGCAATATATTTAATTCTTCTCTTGAAAAAGGCATATTTCCTAATGCATTAAAAATAGCTAAAGTTATACCAATTTATAAGAATGGCAGTAAAAATATGTTGAATAATTATAGACCAATCTCTATTTTATCAATTTTTAGTAAAATTTTAGAAAAAATTGTTTATGATAAATTAATATCTTTTATTGAAAAACACAATATTTTGCACAATAAACAATTTGGCTTTAGAAAGGGATATAGTACTACCCATGCATTGATTGAATTAACAGATAAAATTGCCAAAGCCTTCGAAAAGAAACACATAGTTATATCTCTCTTTTTAGACCTGTCAAAGGCGTTTGACTGTATTGACCATTCAATTTTACTTAAAAAACTGAAATATTATGGAATAAGGGGAAATGCAATACAGTGGTTTGAAAGTTATTTGTGCAATAGGAAGCAATATGTATGCGTTGATAATTTTAATTCAGAATATAAAAGTATTTCAGTAGGTGTACCTCAGGGATCTAATCTCGGCCCCCTTTTATTTTTACTTTATATTAATGATCTGCAATATGTTAGCAATATTTTATCAGTAATTTTATTTGCAGATGACACAAGTTTATTTTTATCAGGTAAAGATCCAGTTGCATTAAATAATCTATTTAATTCAGAAATGAAAAGCATACAAACTTGGTTTACAGCCAATAAACTCTACATTAATCGCGATAAAACATGTTATATGATATTTAAGAGTAGGAATTGTAGAATACAAGATAATGTAATAAATATTGAACTTAATGATCTAAGTATAAAGAGAGAAACCAGTACTAAATTTCTTGGAGTAATCATTGACGAAAATTTGAACTGGAAGGAACATGTTAATTACATTGCTTTAAAAATATCTAAATCCATTGGAGTCTTTAATATTTTAAAACACATTTTACCACTGAAGATTTTAACAAATTTGTATAACTGTATGATTCTATCACATTTTATGTATTCTAATATTGTATGGGGCGGTTGCTCATTTTATTTATCACAAAAATTGTTTTTACTACAGAAACGTGCAATACGAGCAATTACCAAATCAAACTATTTAGCACATACCCAACAATTATTTAAAAAGTTAAAAATATTGAATATATTTGATATAAATAAATTACAACTAGCAGCGTTTATGTTTTCTTACTCTAAACAACTATTGCCCAATAACTTTCATGACTATTTCGAATATAATTGCAACATCAATAAATATAAAACAAGAAATTCCAATAAAATGTATGTACCTTTTTATATTTTTAACTTTTCAAGAACTACAGTAAGTTTTAAAGGCCCACAGCTTTGGAATGAGTTGCCAAACGTATTAAAAGAAATATCCACTGTTTTTACATTCAGGAAAAAATATAAATGTTATCTTCTTAATTGTGAGTAGTTTTATTTGATCTAATTGCCTTTTATGTGATTTATGTAAATAATTATGTTGTGTTTTTTATGTGATTATGCTATGTTATATTATCTGTTTGTTTGATTGTTTTTATTTTTTATATTTTGTATAATGTATTTCTCTTGAAGGGTGGAAATATAGGGGATCAACCTTGACAGGCCAATGGCCTTTGTTGATCCCCCACATCCTCCACCCTTCATCCTTATTTCATCAGTACAATGTAAATGAATGTTTTTTGTATGTATTTATATTGTTTTAAATGATGATTTGTTTGTATATCTTTTAATGTGTTTTTTTAAAGAGATGTGAAATAAATTGAATACTTGAAATGTTGGAAAAGCTGCAAGGGAATGCCTTGTTCAATGGAGAAGGACTTTTGAAAACAATAACTAACTATTGGATAGAGATCAGGATGTGAGCATTAGTCAAACTGTTTCTGGACAAAAGGAGGCAAGAAATCGGCAGGACTCAGGAAGAAACTGCAAAAAAAGAAATACGGTAGAGGAAAATGATTGTACTCTATAATGCACAGTGACCTAGCAAATTTCTTTCTTTCCACTTTCGTAGGAACCTGTGATACCAAAACCAACTATAGTGTTTAGAGGAAAGCTGCTACAAGAAGAACTTGTAACTGCAGCCTGGATTGAGGAGACAAGGTGTGCCACTGCTCTGGAGTACTCACATGGTTTGCCACTATGTTTTCCCTCTTTTACGTCTATGGACGTGAGTACCCCAACCTGGGAAAAAACACCTTAATCTTAATGCAACATTAAAATATGGGCTGCAAGACATGAAATCAATTCTGGATCACGGTCAGTATTGAATGTTAAAAATTCTATTAGATAACTTTTACCATCGAAAGCTAAATTCATTTTGTCTTTAATTCTCATCCCATACAGGAAGTACAGATATGTACCGATGAAAAAAAACAAAGAAATACATAAGAAATTATCAAAACAATATATAACATATGGAATAATGTTAAATATTTCTGTTTTAATATTTCACAAGCCTGCCTTTATTGAAATGTATAAACATTTCTCAAATAAAGAAGTGATTTAAGCCAGAATCGCAATCTTATTTTTAAAAACAATTTTTAGATTTAGCCATCTGAAGCACGGCTGGAGAGTCCAAATTTACCTCCAGTTAACAGACTTGGAAGCGCTGCGAGTTGGTAGCCTCTACCAGGAGAGTCGGCAAGTTTCTAGCCCTATGTCCTTCCAGGACCAAGTTGGATTATGCAGAAAAATTCTGTACTGGCACAACAGCCTAGACACGGAAGAGGAGCCAGTGAGGATGGTGCAAGACGTGAGGAAAAAGTGTGGCCTGGCTCTTGGCAAGGAAACAACCAAAAGTGTGAGATACTACCTCTTTTCCTCCATGCATCATGAGCTTAACATTTTTTTTTTATTGGTTTTGGAATATATTAAAACACTGTATATTCTCTATTTTGCAGCTCAATATACATACTTCCCCCATTTGTTTGCCATTTCATACAAATGTTATATTGCTAGCCTCTTGTTTGCCAGTTTGGACACAAATGTAGAAAATGATGGAAATTAACCTATATATTTTGAACCTAAGATTTGAACTAGTAATTTTTAAGACCTGATAATTTAATTTGTCAATGAATTGCAAACCTTAGCAGCCATGTAGGTGATGACCATAGAATACAATTTGTAAGGTGGTGCTGGGCAATCCTTGGCAAGGATATTAGAGTACAGCTTCCTGCTTGTGTGCTAGCAACAATCAAAATGACATATCCAGATGGAGCAGGCCACTATAAAGGAACGATTCTCAAACGTTTAGACCTTTAAATAATGTTTTCTCATCCCATACAGGAAGTACAGATATGTAACATACCGGCAATTTGTAAGGTGGTGCTGGGCAATCCTTGGCAAGGATATTAGAGTACAGCTTCCTGCTTGTGTGCTAGCAACAATCAAAAAGACCTATCCAGATGGAGCAGGCCACTATAAAGGAACGATTCTCAGACGTTTAGACCTTTAAATAATGTTTTCTCATCCCATACAGGAAGTACAGATATGTAACATACTGGCAATTTGTAAGGTGGTGCTGGGCAATCCTTGGCAAGGATATTAGAGTACAGCTTCCTGCTTGTGTGCTAGCAACAATCAAAAAGACCTATCCAGATGGAGCAGGCCACTATAAAGTTTAGACCTTTAAATAATGTTTTCTCATCCCATACAGGAAGTACAGATATGTAACATACCGGCAATTTGTAAGGTGGTGCTGGGCAATCCTTGGCAAGGATATTAGAGTACAGCTTCCTGCTTGTGTGCTAGCAACAATCAAAAAGACCTATCCAGATGGAGCAGGCCACTATAAAGGAACGATTCTCAGACGTTTAGACCTTTAAATAATGTTTTCTCATCCCATACAGGAAGTACAGATATGTAACATACCGGCAATTTGTAAGGTGGTGCTGGGCAATCCTTGGCAAGGATATTAGAGTACAGCTTCCTGCTTGTGTGCTAGCAACAATCAAAAAGACATATCCAGATGGAGCAGGCCACTATAAAGGAACGATTCTCAGACGTTTAGACATGAACTGACCAATAGACTCTTACTTTCTAACATACAAAGAAAGGATTGCTGCAAGGACTTTAAAATCATGAATGATTGATGATGATGTAGTTGACATGATGGTATTGCATTAATGTAGTTTATAAAGAAAACTTGATATAGGCAGAAATGTATGTCAAAATATTTTTTTTTTGTAGGCAATTCATCATTCTTATTAGGCATGCATATAAAATGTTTTAGGAAAGTCAGACTTCTACAGTAGTTTTTGTCAGGGGAGAACCCAATGACCCCCCCCCCCCCCAACTCCCTCTTCCTGTGTTTTCAGCTTCCATAATAACCTAGTCCAATTAGAGTTAAACTGAATCCATGACCCCATATCAGAACTTCGTAAATTGCTATTTTTTTCTGTATGTTATTTGTTTACAAATTAGACCATTGCCAACAGAACTAGATGCAGTTGGTGAAGTGGAGATAGTGATGGGGGAACTTCCTCCTGAGATGCCCAATGAGCCATGCAGCCTGGCGACAAGGATTGGGATGCATTTCATAGTCACTCCTGAGGAGGATGCAGATGCAAGTCTATGCATTGCATCTCACAGTGCAAATGAAGGCCCTGTGCAGAGAGGCCAGGGAATGTGCCGGTGTCATAGGCGATTTGTTCCGTGCAGGCGATCGGTTCCTCCGGAACCGATCGCCTGGATATGTACCCGCCGATTTGTTCCTGATTCGTAGATTTGTTCCGCTAGTCACAGGCGATCGGTTCCGGCCAGGCGATTCATTCCGTGGAACCAATCGGCGGGATATTTAGCCGCCAATCCGTTCCGAATCTCATCGGAGAGCGTGCGTGCTCACGTATTATTGAATACACGCCATGGTACACCCCTAAAGCAAAATGAACTATTCTGGTCAGCCTTTGCAACCAATCAAACTTCTCCAAATTAGCTACACCAACGATTGCCAATTTGAGAACTTTGTATAGAAATGCAGATTGCGGGGTCAACACAAAAAGAAATGAGTGGTCGAGCTGATAATTAAGAAGGACCAATAAAAAAAAAAAAGAAGTAAAAGAAAAACCCGACATATTTTGTTGAATTTTCAACCCTTGGTACTAGCCGACAAAAGTTAGTGTTAAACAGAGCCATAGCATAGTGTGTCTATACCCCCCCCCCATATTCAGGCTATCGAGCGCCGATCTGAATATGCACGAGGTTGAGAAGGGCTCTGTTTGTTCGAGTCGCGCATATTCAGCGATTTCGAGCGCGGTACGAAAAATAAATAAATAAATAACCTACTGACTAGTATATGCGCATAGAGTACATGTATATCATATGCATGCACGCACGTGCATACTCGGCACGATATATTGCGACACAGCATGCTGATCTGGGCGCGAACTCGATAACGTCAACGTGAATTTCGACAGCATCGACCGTCAGCATTCACTGTCATCGTAGTCGTAGGTCAACCTCGTAGTCGTACGTATGAGCGATAGTCATAAAAAATGGCAGATGAGCAATTTGTTGATGATTGCAGGAACATCGAAAGGTTTCTTGCGAATAGGAGTTATCCGGAAGGGATGAGTGACAACAAGAAGAGGGGGCTCCAAAAGAAAGCAGCCAACTTCAAGTTGAGTGTGACACATGATGGGCTCACAGAATTAGTCTATACAGGTAAGTTATGCCTTGTGTTTCTGAAAAATTCCTAGGTAATAATACCCTAGATCTATATCTTGATATCACATACGTTCAACTGAGTACGAGTACGACTATGACTGAGTATGAGTATGACTACGAGGTCAACCTATCTATCGATAGATCGACCTCGTAACCGAACTCAGTCAAGTGAGTATAGTCATAGATCTAATGTTAGATCTAGACTAGAGGAATCTAGTAGATCTAACGTAATTCCGTACGAGGTTATAAACCTTATTATTAAGTAATATTTCAAAAAATATATGAGCGATAGTCATAAAAAATGGCAGATGAGCAATTTGTTGATGATTGCAGGAACATCGAAAGGTTTCTTGCGAATAGGAGTTATCCGGAAGGGATGAGTGACAACAAGAAGAGGGGGCTCCGAAAGAAAGCAGCCAACTTCAAGTTGAGTGTGACACATGATGGGCTCACAGAATTAGTCTATACAGGTAAGTTATGCCTTGTGTTTCTGAAAAATTCCTAGGTAATAATACCCTAGATCTATATCTTGATATCACATACGTTCAACTGAGTACGAGTACGACTATGACTGAGTATGAGTATGACTACGAGGTCAACCTATCTATCGATAGATCGACCTCGTAACCGAACTCAGTCAAGTGAGTATAGTCATAGATCTAATGTTAGATCTAGACTAGAGGAATCTAGTAGATCTAACGTAATTCCGTACGAGGTTATAAACCTTATTATTAAGTAATATTTCAAAAAATATATGAGCGATAGTCATAAAAAATGGCAGATGAGCAATTTGTTGATGATTGCAGGAACATCGAAAGGTTTCTTGCGAATAGGAGTTATCCGGAAGGGATGAGTGACAACAAGAAGAGGGGGCTCCGAAAGAAAGCAGCCAACTTCAAGTTGAGTGTGACACATGATGGGCTCACAGAATTAGTCTATACAGGTAAGTTATGCCTTGTGTTTCTGAAAAATTCCTAGGTAATAATACCCTAGATCTATATCTTGATATCACATACGTACAACTGAGTACGAGTACGACTATGACTGAGTATGAGTATGACTACGAGGTCAACCTATCTATCGATAGATCGACCTCGTAACCGAACTCAGTCAAGTGGGTATAGTCATAGATCTAATGTTAGATCTAGACTAGAGGAATCTAGTAGATCTAACGTAATTCCGTACGAGGTTATAAACCTTATTATTAAGTAATATTTCAAAAAAAAATAATATTGGTTTTCATTCCAACAATAAATACAAAAGTATCAAGATAAAGCTAAAATTTATTTTTACCATGTTTATTCGACACAAGTAATAAAAATATACGCGATTATATAAGCAGAAACGTTCGGCCAATGTCGGATAAGAACGGCGGCTTTCGAACGTATCTGCGAACGAGTCGATCCAGTAGATTTGTTCCGCGGAACCCGGAACAAATAGCCTACCACACCGGCAGTGTGGCAAGGTGACGGACATCAAACTAGTTCCATCTGGAACATCCATCCATGTGACATGGGCTATCGTTGCAGAGGCAGAGGTCCAGTATCCAGGTGCCTTTGGATTGTCATTTCTTCAGAAGCAGCTCCGAGATGCAGTCAACAACAAATGCAGAAAGGCTAAACAGAGTCTACAACCAACCATCTCTCTTCAGTAGAATTGTTGTACTTTTGTGCACATGTACAGAGTTCTAGTTATACTAGGCAATGGTCCAGTATCCAGGTGCCTTTGGATCGTCATTTCTACAAAAGCAGCTCCGTGATTCTGTGAACAACAAATGCAGAAAGGCTAAACAGAGTCTACAACCAACCATCTCTCTTCAATAGAATTGTTGTACTTTTGTGCACACGTATAGAGTTCTAGTTATACTGGGCAACAGTCCAGTATCCAGGTGCCTTCGAATCATCATTTCTACAAAAGCAGCTCCGTGATTCTGTCAACAACAAATGCAGAAAGGCTAAACAGAGTCTACAACCAACCATCTCTCTACAGTAGGATTGTTGTACTTTTGTGCACATGTACAGAGTTCTAGTTATACTAGGCAATGGTCCAGTATCCAGGTGCCTTTGGATCGTCATTTCTACAAAAGCAGCTCCGTGATTCTGTGAACAACAAATGCAGAAAGGCTAAACAGAGTCTACAACCAACCATCTCTCTTCAATAGAATTGTTGTACTTTTGTGCACACGTATAGAGTTCTAGTTATACTGGGCAACAGTCCAGTATCCAGGTGCCTTCGAATCATCATTTCTACAAAAGCAGCTCCGTGATTCTGTCAACAACAAATGCAGAAAGGCTAAACAGAGTCTACAACCAACCATCTCTCTACAGTAGGATTGTTGTACTTTTGTGCACATGTATAGAGTTCTGGTTATACTGGGCAACGGTGGGGGCTTATGCCATCTCGAATGTTTAGCCTGCTTTAGCTATTACCCTGTGCTTGTATATACATTAAAGTATTGATAAATTTTCAGTAATAATGTATATAGATGATGAACATTCAAAATTAACAATTGTTGCATTTGTGTTTTGATTGCAGTTTTGTTATAGTGTGAAAAAGATTTGAAAGAGTTTGAAATATTTTAGCCATGTGATCGATTTGTTTCACTCTTTTACCTATAGCCTCAACATCTCCAAGTGCAGAAGAAGCAAGGGGACAGAAGACCTGTGCAGAGCTAAAGCAGGAAAGTACTTTTTATTACAATCTTTATAGATGAATAAAATAAGCGTCATGGGCATGGAGTTTAGGAGACATGGATCTTACACTCACAGAAATCATGACAAGCTCGTTGTGTATCACTGGCAAGTGTTACCAGATCATGTCAGGTGGAACACCAATGAAAGCGACACTCGAGGACGTTCAAAAACATGCCACAAAAATCAGCAGGTCAGCACAAAAAGTGGAATAGCAAATAGGAGGTCTTAGGGAGAAAAACACAGAGTTGACAAAGCAGGACTATGAACTAAAGAAGGCCAACAGAGAGTTAAAAGGGAGACTGGAAGAAACAACAGAGAATCTAACAGCATCTCAAAGAAGTTTCTCTGAGGTCCTTGAGTTAGGAGAGGATGGTTCTGATACACATGAACCAGAATTAACAAAAGAAAACAAGATGAGAACTCTAACCCACAGACAGGCAGCTCTCAGGAGTTATATCATTTTGTATGAACTGTAAGCATTACATTACACATTCAGTTTATTTTGTAGCAGACGCTGTGAACTCAAATACACTTATAATCTGTCAAGTTTTACCACTTTAATCTTATGATTTATCCTGTGATTTAATTGCAACATGGCCAACCGTACCAGTAAGAAACCAGCTCGTTATTGCTGCGAGAGTGATGAAGGGAAGCTCTATTTATTTTCTAGTTATAGTTCAATAGAATTGACTATGTAAAGATTGCTACAAATTTAGTTTTTGTGCCATTGTGTGTCGATCATGCCTTGCATGTGCATTCAGAGTTGAAGGCGCTATGTAAGTACCCCTCTGTAAAGGGAGTGTATTGTATTCATAGACCAATAAATATGTTGTTTCCAGGGCAAGAGTGTAAAACATTCCTGTTCATTCTAGTTCATTCAGGGCCTACACTTCATTATTCTCA